GCTCTTCCACAATGCCCTGGCATGAGTGCAGCACCCATATCTGTTCCAGTAAACATGATATGAGATCAGTGCATTTTAGAAATGCCTTTTTTTTTCCCAAATGATTGGAATGATTAAAAAATGAAAGGATTGCAAAGGATTGCAACAATTTATTATCTTCGTGAGGCACCGTAAAGGGAACCAGTGCAGTTGCAGCAACAACATCATGGAAATTTGGAACAGCAAAACCAAAGAGGGGAAGCTTGTTTGCTAAACTAAAGCAAATAGTACAGGTTGTGCATGCGTACCAGAGGTCAGACACACTCCAGAGTGCAGGCAGATGAAGGAAACCCATGTCCTGTCCCGAGCAGCCTTGAAAACTTCAGAGGGGGAAAATCAGACAGATCTTTCACATTTCCTTGCTTTCAGAAAGAAAAAAAAAAAAGGAAGAAAAAAAAAAGAAGAAAAACAACAAAGGGAGGGAGTCTGTAGCGGCATTAATCAAAAATGAAAGCGGATTAAAATGGTCACAGGCAGGGCCCCCTCACAGAATTGGTGAGGGATGTGCTGTGCAGAGGACACTCCCATGTGGCACCAATCTGCAATTGCACCAAGCCTGTGAAGGAAACTAAATCCAGTGGCAATGAAATATCATTTAATTTTCCTGCTACCCCTCTGGTGGCTGACACGTGCATACATATACAAGTCACTTATGAAGGGTTAGAGGAAAAATAAAAAAGGGGAGGACATAAGTTTTGCTGGGTTCAGTGCCGAGCAAAAGCATGCCAGGGACAGCGTGGCACATATTCTCAAAGAGTTACTGTTTGGTTACATAAATAGGAAAACTCAGTACAAATTGCACACTTTTAGTTTATTTACTGGGCTAAGTCTCGACACTGTTCTGAAGTGAGCCCTGGGTGGGCAGGAGTTGTGTCTCACAGTGTTTTGGGAACATCCTTGGGCGATCCAACTGGAGCAAAACCCCAATCTTCGTTGGGACAAAAGTGATGAAGAGGAAGATGGAGACCTCCCAGTGTGAAGCTGCCACTTCGCTTTGTCCGTCGGCAGCTGCTGGCTCCCTCCTGCCTGTCATGCTCCTTGTCTGTGGCTAAACCAGGCCCAAGCACCTCCAGAATGATTTTTTAACAACTTTTCCACTGCATATTTTATTAGCACAAACCATTTAGGGTAAACCTATCCTCCTCAAAGTGTAACATCAAATTTTTATAGCTGTTTGATACCTGCCTGGAAGCTCCAGCTCAACATGGCCTTTGGTAGAGGCTGCTTCTACCACCCTATAGCTTCCTCAAAATTCAAGTACATGCACAAGATATTAGCAAGTGAGATGCTGCCGTTGCAAGGCTGAGATATGGTCTCTTCACATAATGTGGGAGCACGGGGATCTTGTACCATAGCAGAGCTGAGGCTGCCTGCGACAGTGAGGTTGGCTGCTGGCCACGGCCACCTGGACATTCAAGCCAACATAGAGATGCGAGCACAGAGTGCACGTCCTAGCCCACCTTGTCCCAGGAACATCCAGAGACATCCAAAGCACAATGGGCTGGTGGGGAAAAGGGCCGTTTTCCCCATGGCAGCCCCTTGGAGTGCTTAACAGCGAGGCAGCGCCCGGATCTGGAAGGGCTTGGGGCAGCGTGTGAGGCTTAGCGTGAAGTCGAAGCTCAGTGCTGCATGCGCCGGTGCCTCGAAGGTGAATCTCTGCAGGAGGGCCGTGAAGAAGATGAAGAGCTCCGTCCTGGCGAGCTGCTCGCCGGGACAAGCCCGCTTGCCTGGCAGGGGAGGAGAAAGCAGCTGGTGAGACATGGGCTTGGGTGATGGAAAAACCCAGCCTATCCTGCCACAAGTTTGCAGACAATAGGGATTTCCCTTAAAAAAAAAATAGCAAAACCCTTAATTTAGTGCCCGATGCTTCCTCTGGTGCTAAGGAGCTGGGGCACTTGCTGGTGCTGCTGGCCAGGCCAGCCCCAAGGCGGGGATGGTACAGGTCCGAGTCACTACTCGTGCAGGGGACTCACTGTCCTGGCTGTCCCTCCTCTCGCGCGCACGCCTTTTGGTGCGGAGCTTTTCTCCTTCGCAAGGTTAGGTGGCAATGTTCACCCACACATTTTGCAGAAACCTTCCCCAGAACTTGGCTGCGAAGCGCAGCGCCAAGGCTGTGCGGGGAGCCCAGCGGGCGAAAGGAGGCAGGAAAAGCCCATTTATGCAGCTAATGCAAGAGGAAAAGCCTTATTTTCATCTTGTACTAATAAATTAACTCCCACCACCCCCACAGTACAGCTCAGGGCAGTCAGCGTTAACTGTTGCAGGTTTTTTTGATGATGGAAATGCTGGATGTGGGCGGCTACTAGAGATGGGAAGCCGGACAAGGAGCAGCATCCCCTGCTCTTGTAGGATTCTTAAAAAAAAAAAACAACCACCACATTGCATGGGCAAAAAGAACATTTCCCCCTGCATTTGTACCTGCAGAGAAAGGCAGGAAAGCCTCCCGCTTCCTGTACTGGCCATTTTCCAGGAAATGCTCAGGATTAAAGGTGTCTGGTGTCTCCCACACGTTTTTATCAAACATGATAGAAGTCAGGCTGGTCATCAGTGTGGTGCCCTGTGGGAGAAGGGCACACTGAGAAGAAGCACCGAGAATTGTCAGACCGGTTTATTATTGGCTCTGGTCTGCACGCAAAGTGAAATATGTATTTTTCTTGAGAAGAAAATGTTATTTTTAACCAATGTGATTAAGTGAGGGTGAAAACCAGTGTGAATGTTAACTTTCATGTATATTTGTATCACTGAGGGACTGTATTTTGTGCTAGTGTCACTGACTACAAGCCAATTTTACATCAGTAAAGTTAGGTTCCCATGGGAATTTGGAGTAATTTAACCAAATAATTTTCAATGGATCCTCTTTATTGTGCTATTTAAAGCAGCACAATATCTGATTAAAGCCCACATTCTCCATCAGAAAAATAAAAAAATTCCGAGCGACGTGGAGCAAAATGCCCAAGTACTTTGGTTTTCATTTTCCATGAAGTAACCACTCAGGTTCATGAAAAAGACTAAATCTATCTTACTTGTGAAATTTGCTTTTATAAAGCTAGAACAGTACATAGGCATCAGTATGTACTACGTAGCTTTTACCAGGTGCTACTTTTTTCTTAGATGATTTTTGATACTCTGTGTACCTATCCAATCTCTTCTGTTCACTTCTCTATTCCTCTTGGACCAATATTCACATGATGTGTGAAAAGGATCTTGTCTAAAGTTGAGAAGCAAACTTTATAAAAGTGAAAATGATGACCAGTGTCATGGCTCTGCCATAGGATCTCCTGCATGAAGAGGTGAGATCCATAACACCTTTACCATGCTCACGCTCCTATTTTCTGTGTCATTGGGATATCTGGGTAAGATCTTGCTGGTTGGTTCCCTTCCAAGTCAAAGTCTGAGGACTTTTGAGGCTGTGCCATGACCAACCTGACTCCTGTGAGTGAAGAGGACGTTTTTCTGCCTGTACCTTGGGCAGGTGGAAGCCTGCCAGGGTGGTGTCGCTGGTGGACATCCTGGGGACCCCCAGGGGCACAACGTTGCCCATCCTCAGCACCTCGCTCAGCACCGCGCTGGTGTATGGCATGTTCTCCTTGTCGTCCATCGCCGGCTGGCGCGACTGCCCGATCACGCTGTCGATTTCCAGCTGCACTTTCTCTACGGAATGGGAAAGAAAAGGGATCTATGCTCAAAAAGCCAGAGGTTTCTACTGAGACAGTCATGACTTGTTGGTTTTCCCTTCTAGATTTTTCATACTAAAAGAGTTTTCTGAGTTTCAGCTCTCATTGTGTTCCCAATCCAACCCAGGATGGGGTGGTTTTGGCTTTCCCCAAACCATCTGCGGTTCCCTGCTGATGCTCCCACCTTGGACATGGGGGTACGTGGCCATGTAGAGGAGGGCCCAACGGATAGCAGTGGCAGTCGTCTCGGTGCCAGTCAGAAAGAGGTCCAGGGTGGAGCACAGCAGGTTTTCTTCATGGAAATAAGAGCTGGGGTCACCCTTGCACTTGGGAAGAAAAGGAAAATGGAAATTAAGGGACTTAAGGAACTTGTGGAACTTATTTAGGAGAGTCGTGCCTTCATAGGCGCAGTTGCAAACTTTCTGTGCATAACTCAAACCAGCAAAATAGCTCTAGGTCTCCTCTACTCATTCTTTGGGCTTCAGGTAGCAGGTCCCCTTTCACACCATACCTTTTCTATCTCCTTCAGGTAGCAATCAATGTAATCCCCTGATTCAGCCAGGCTCAGCTCCTCCTTGTGTTTTGCAATCACTCCTTTCACAAAGCATTTCAGTTTCTCCCAATGCCTAAAGATTTTCCTAAAGGGTCCTGGAAGCCATCTCATTACCAAGGGGAAAGCATTATACAGCTGCAAAAGCATCAAGCAGACAGAACAAAATCATATTTCTTCAGTTAAAAAAAGCAGGGTGCCGCCATTCAGACCGTACAATTTATTAGTTCTGCTAGCTCCACTAGTTATTTTAACTTGCTTGCTGTATTTTATGTATAAAAACATGTAAAACAATACTCGTGGTCATTTCCCTTATAAAATGACTCTTTTTTTTTTCCCACAGGGAAAAGCAAGATTACCTTAGAAATGTGGGTTTTCCAAGCACTTAATGCACGAGTGAAGTTGGAAAGTAATCAGAATGGCTTTACCTGGCCCCAAAAGCTCCCTAGGAGTAGCAGGGTTTCAGCCAGCGAGTGCAGCAGCTCCTGGAAGCGGCTGTCATGGTAGTCGAAGCGGCTCCCAAAGGTTATGGAGCAGATAATGTTTGAGACGGCACTGTTAATTTTGTAATGAGGGTCAAACGGTTGACCTGGAGGAAACAGGAGTAGAGGCACAGCGTTTTATTTTTTTTTCCCCCCTTTGTTTAATCTCAGGCAAAAGTGCTGCCTAGGAGGTTAGCAGTTCTTACCCCAGTGGAGATGCAGGTTGGCACCCCGGTCCCAGGATGCCTGGTCTGCTCTAACCCACCACCAACCCACAGCATCATCCTTCCCCAGGGATGTTGGTTTTGCCCGTTGCAAATTGAGAATGAGGAAGGTGGATGCAGGTGCTGGGGTGGATCCTGGCTTGGTCTGACTCTCTGATCCTCCTGAGGGTTGCACGAGATGGTGCTTTCCCAACGCAGAGTGGCCAAGGCAGGATTTGAACCATTTTCCCCAGCAAATCCCTCAGGGCGACTGTGCTCATTGGCATGGTTAATTGAACATGACAAATATAGGATGTTAGTTTTATAGATAGGAAATGCAGACTTGCATTTCATTTTTTTTTCCTGATGATGCCCGTACTCCATTTAACTGAGCCAAGTCTGGTGTGATGTCCACTATATATTTTCCCTTGGGAGAGCCATTGACCAGCAGCTGGATCAGTGCCCTCCAGAGCATCCTGGAGTCTTGCAGCTTCTCAAGCATCCCTGAGAGCCACTTGGCATGACATGCCAGCCTGGCATCCATCCAAAGCCAACTCTACCTGGGAGCTGCCCTGGGTCGGTGAGGAGCATCGTTCTTCAATGCAAGGGGCTGTGCTCAGCACGGCTGGTCTTTCCGCTCCACAAGAAAATAATTTCACTCGGAGGGTGCTCAGAGTGATGGACATGATCACTACCCATCATTACCAATGTGAAGAAAGACCCAAAACAGCAGCTTAATTAGTTTATTGATTAGGACTGTGAAGGGCTATAATCAATTGGCCACATGAGGTATTTGGCCTGTTCAGCGCAAGAGCTATTAAAATGGAGCAAGTTCAGTATATAATTTTGTGATTCCTATTTAGATCTTTCTTGTTTACTATATATAGCTCTATAGAATTAGCTCAACCCCATCTGCTTCTATTTAAAGCTGAAGTGCAACATCACCCATGTACCAACATACAAATTATTCTTACTAATATCCCTCTGGCAATTCTTAAAAGCCGGACCACAAAAGAGCAAGGCGCATGCTTCATCTGTGCACAACACAAAAGGAAACCCTGACTAAACAAGTTCTAAAATACTTTGCAAAACCAAGGACAAGCAGAGGTTAACTGTGCCTCTGAGTACAAGAGCTTGATACCATGAGAACTGCATTTATGATTCCACAGAGCAGAGGAAAGGTTTCCTTAGCCGTATAAAAATGCAAGTTATAATTTAACATCTACTAGGTATTTTGCCCCGTATTGATAAGGCCTAAAATAAGTGCTAAAAGGCAGAGTCTAGAGCTGCAAGATAAAGATTTGGTGCTACCAGAGAAATACTCTGCATGTTAGAAGCTGTATAAAAATAGTTTTCCTTCCCTTGATTCCCTGGGCAAAAGGTTAGCTGAATGTTTAGGACATGATGGTCTATGTTAATGGTTTACCTTTCTCTTCCTCTATTATCTCCACAAGATATCGGCTCTCCTCTTGCACTTTTTCCTCAAAGCTTACAGAAATGCTTTTCAGTGTTGACAAAGCAAACTTTCTCTGTTGCCTCCATATATGCCCATTTGATGATATAAGCCCTGTAAATAGAAAAAAAAAAAACAAAACCTCTTTCTATGTCATGTATGAGTGGCCAGATCCAGAAATGGCCATTGCCCTTAAAAAAATAAAAATAATTAAAAAAGCAAACAAAACCTTAAACATTTAAAATCTATAGTTTTGCCTGGGAATTAAAATTCAAGAGTAATTGGCTTATGCTAAAGATTCTAGTTTTATGGATTTGCTTTAATCTGCTACTTTGTCACTTTGCGTGGGAAAAAAAGGTGTAAGCCAAAATACTATAAGTACTATCACGCTGTTGGCAGCGCTGCAAGCAGGAGTACTGGTTCCCATTCTTTGGAGCTGCATGCTCCGAGCAGAGAGAAGTAAAGGAGGACTTAAAACCAAGAGGAAAACTCTTCAAGTCACGGAATGCTTTGCATTTCTTTCCCAGTTTTTATTGAGGTAAACGCCTGAGTACGGACTGCTGAAATGCGGTTCCTAGTTAGGAGCAGGGAATGGGTTGCTTTTGGGCACTGAAATCTCTCTCGTTCATAAAAGGGCTCCCAGAGAGATTAAAATGTGCACCTATGAGGTTATTAGGCCAAGTTCAGTTCTTGCCTACCTCTATGCAAACTTTTATAGATACCATGTAGCTGAAATCAGCCTGTTTCTTTCATTCCAATAGTTATTGCTCTGCATAGCTGAAGAATTTGCACCCACATCCTCATAGCTCTACTCACCAAAGCCTTTAAAAATTTCTTGAAGAAGTGGAATGTTCGGACGATCTGCAAATATTTCGGCCTGATGGACAAGAGCTTCTCTCACCATCTGGTATCCGTTGACTACCACAAATGTCAGGCTTCCAAACTGCACGCTGAAGATGTTGCCATACCGAGGAGTGAGCTGAAAGAAAGGCTCCTCTGAGCTCCCTGCTCTCTGTATTGGCCTGAGAGCGAGAAGAGGAAGATTTTCCAAACCCTCCTGGACAAGATCTTGAGCAATTTGGTTTGACTTTTAATTTACTCCTGCTTGGAGCATGAAATTGGGCTAGAAATCTCCACAGGTCCCATCCAACCTAACCTGTTTTATGAGTCTACAGAGGCTGGAAATGGCATAAAAACACTAGCAAGCTGCAGTGCGGACGAGGTGCTGGTTATGCTCAGTAGCAGGTATGACCTGGCTTTCACCAGCTGGTCGCACCCTTAGCTTGCCCGGTCATGAGGACAGGACTTTTTGCCCTGTACCTGCAGGGCAGTGTGACAAAAAACATGCTCTTCCCTTCTTCTCCTCAGAATGGCACTACCTGGGTCACCAAGTCCAGGCTCTTGCCGTTGAAGGCAAAGCATGACAAATAATCCCTTTTCATGAACTTTGCATCAGACACAGTGCCATTTCTTGTTCCAGCTGTCCCTGTCAGAAAGTGGTTCAGCTGCTGATGGCTAGACTTTTCTGCTATTTTTAAGCCTGAATGCATTCATGGCCAGTTTGTAGCCATTATCCTGGCATGAATATTGCTAATACTAGTCTCTCCTCTTCAGTATTTAATTCTCTGATGTCTATGAGAAGGCAATCATGTCCCCTCTCTCTCTCTCCACTTTGCCAAGTAGCTCTGTCCAAGCTTACTTCAGTGTAGCTCTATGTGAACGGCCACACATGGTCACCCTGAATTTCTCTGGTGACTCATGAAACCACTCGGGGCCGAATAAGTTGCTAAATCACTACGTGAATGAGTGCTATTAATTATATTACTGACAAAATATCCTGAGGACATATCCTAATTCTCTCCATATGCCCCATATCAATATCTCTTTCATGACATAATGCCTAGAAGCCTAAGTCTCAGTCCTAGGGATTTTGTGGTTATGTAGTTGCTTCCCACAGACCCTAGGTCTTGGTAGTACATAGAGATATGTTCATAAAGTATCTGTATTTCAAGAGTCTTCAGCTCTGACCATGCTTCCTTTTTGCAGCAGCAGATCTCACAGGATAGTTTTTCCTGAGAGAGTGTGACAGTCTTTGAGGAAAAAGAGGCCGTTTTGGAGCCTGAGAGCTTTGGCAATGCCTCTTGGAGAGTTTCATGAATGGGATAGCTGGGTATGATTTTTCCTCAACATACCCAACCTAGTGTTGTATGTTGTAGAAAACCTTTATACCACAAACATAATGATCACTTTGGTGGCTAAAGCTTTGCAGGTAGGTGGCTGTCTGAGCCCTCCCCAGAAGGTCCCTTGGGAGACACTCGTATTTGTAACCAGCAAGTCAGAGCCTGATTTACGTCTTTCAGCACATATTCTCAATACGTATAATTTATCACATTGTCATTGCCTTTGGGGAAGTCAGGGCTCTGGAAGGCTGTCTAGACCTGTCTCCACTTCTTTTATGTGATACAGAAGTCACCACAGGGATATTTAACTTTGGGTCTTAATATTTCTTTCACATACACAATAGGAGAAATTCTTGTCCTGTGAGCATAGAGAAGGACACTGAAATTTTCAGAGGTGCTTTGTATAGTTGAAACTCTTCATTTATCAAAGGATACTCTCCTGCCTCAGGCAGAAGAAGCATCCATGGTCAGATGGGAAGAATGAGGAGGAACATATAGGATTTCTTCCTCAGGATTCTTTCCATCAGACCGATCTGGAAGAAGAGGTGACAGGAAGAATAAAACCAAGAACTGCCATCTATTTCAAAGTTTTTTTTTTTTTTAATATGTATATAGCTAGTTATTCAGAGGCTGCCTCTGCTTCTTGGGTTTAGTGACAGAACTCCCTTAGAGGTAAAGCATTAGAAGTAACATAAACATCCATGGAGCTCTTACCTTCTGCAGTGCAAGGTGGAGGGGCCGCTTAAAATCCACAAAGGTTCCCACAAGAGGAAAAAGCTGTGGCCCTGGAGGGAAATTCCTGGGACGTCTCTTTCTCAAAAGGTCAACAATCAAAAGAAACGTGACCAGAATCACCAGGAGAATCTGACCATTCAGCTTTTCCAGCAGAGAAAGTAAAATGGACCAAAATGGATTCTGCATCTTGGCTGATGAACTCACAGTTTTTCATCCCAGAGAGGGACCTCGTACTTGATGCTGGTGTTAAACTTGCTGAAACAGGAGTAAGAAACAGGTGAAAAACTTGCTCAACTTGTACAGCAAGCAAGCTAAGGTGTTGATTGCTTAATGGGGACCGAACTTGCCATGCGCCAGCTACTTTCTCATGTACAGCTATTGCCAGAAGACCTGTAGAACAACTGAGCTAAAAAACTAGGACCTCAAGAAGCAATGGCAACATCTCAAATATTCGGCCAAACAAAAGCAATCTTGCAAAGCTATAGCTTTACATCTCTGCCAAGTCCCTCAACTTCCTTACGGTAGAATATGCCTGCCTTCTGCTTTTTACAGGGACCTCCTTTATACAGATACCTGACTGGGATTATAAGCATTAAAACATTTGAGGTTAGAAGAAAGCAGCTTACTTGGCTAAATACATATGGTGGGCGTTGCATAATTTAAAAAACTGTAAGGCATCTGAGGTGATGGACACCATCTGAGTTGCGAAAGGGCTGATCCTGTTAAGGGCTAAGCACCTTCTGCAAAGGGCCGACTGCCCTCGACGTGCTCCGAGGGCCACCAGGCTTTGCTGGAGTGCGGTGAAGTTCAGGCAGGGGGAAGCCCTGGAGGGCTCTGCCCAGCCACTTAAATGAGAGTTAAAGGAGCTTACTTCAGAGAGTGAGAACATAGGCTCATGCGATTGCTAGCTAAAGGAGAGATTGGAACTTATGCATTTAAATCTCCTGGGTTTTCTGAAAATCTCCTCTGAATAAAGCTTCATGCTGTCCTGGGCACAGCTGCAGCCAGACCAAGAGTGACCTCTGTGTCCAGGAACCAACCTCATACCAGCTGCCAGTATTTCAGCTACAACTTGTTTCCAGCTCCTTCTTTTTTCCCTTTGAAAAACTGTACTTTGCCAGTGACCTACACGTCTATTGAGGCAAAACTGTCAATAATGATTTTAAGATGATTTTTCTTAGACATCTTGGTGAAAATTTCGCAAGAATGATATATTTTTATTGGCTGGAGTATTTTTTCAGAAAGCTTTTTTTTTTAGAAAAAGGAAAGGCATTTTTTTCATGGAAAATAATCTTTTGTCAAAAATGGTGACATTTCTCTAGTCTTTTCTCTCCTTCAGAAGAGGTTTTTCATTGCCTCAGTGAATGCAATGATAGTAGAAGTACATGCAGGCTGTAGGACACACCTGCCCCTTATTGTAGGATATTTTTTTAGGGTGAGGGCTATCCAGAATCCAACAGCTTTTGTTTTGAAACAATATTTACAGGTTTCTGGGTCCCACTATGCACGACATGATCCATCAACACAAATTTTACCCATCCCTGTATCACAGCTATGAGCAGTGGTGCTTGGGTATTGTTTACTTGTCCCCATGTAGGTGCATCCGTGGAGTTCCTAAACCTGCTTGGGTCGATGTATCTATTCCAGACTTCCCCATGGGATGAACCAATCCTTGCTAAAGGCTAAACAAGCGTAGTGGGCTTGTGCTCTTAATCCTGGCATCAGGGAGATGGCTCGGTTGGTGGAGGTGTCAGCCTACAGCACGCTCAAAGGGACTGTGATGATAAGGCATCAACTTCTGCTAGCCCAGTTTCACTCCTCTGTTCCTCCTCATGCCATATGATTTGTCAGTACGCACAGAGTGCAGATCACTGTACCACTTGTGGCTGCTGTGAATTGGGCTGCGTGCAAAGCCAAGGTGTTAATGTGTTCTTCTGGGTGGTGTTGTGGGGGTGGATGCATCGTGGTTGACAGGAGAAATGTTATTTTTAGCTGTAGGAGCACATTTTGCGTGTACTCACATGTGTCTTGTCAGTCAGAAACCTCATGCCTGTTACTTTGCCTTGAAGCTTCACATGTCCAAGCCTATCTCTTCACAAAGGCCTTAACATGCCAGATTTACTAAACACTGGGGAGGAGCATTCCCATGTTACCAGTATTCTCCTAACCTCAGTGAACAGCAGCAGAAGCCAGTTACAAAACTTCATTGTAATGATGCTATTGCTGGCCGATGGCTTTTAACCAAATCAGTTCTCAGCACACAGTGATGTGCAGATCCCGAATGTGCTCAGAAAGTCACATCACCGTCATGCATGGACTGGGAAAAAGTGTTGGACATTTCCTAATTTGTAGTCTGTACAGGATCCAAGCTGCAACATCCTGCTCTGTTATTTTGGAGCAGTGCCCGATGCTTAGTGCGTGTATGCTCAAGACCTAGCAGGGACATAATGTTGTGGTTCTTCCTAAGCTGCAATTGAGAAATTTAGGCAGAAATCTGTAGTGGACCTGGAGACCTTGTAGCCCCCTACAAGGATAAATTCACCTTCCCCTCTTCCTCCTAGAGCAACTCCTCTGACACCTGTACATGACTTGGTGAGCACCTTACCTGAGCTGTCGGATCCCGTGGTAGATACAGTATGCCATATTGCATGGACACACAAACATCACTGCTTGAATATTAAGGCATCTTGAACAGCCAACAGACAGAAATTGGCCCATATGCTTTGTACCTTCTTCCCTGGCTAGATGTCTAACTGTGTGCAGAAGGTTTTGAACACAAAGAGAAACATTCTGTTAAAAATGTAATTACCATTTGTTTTTCAAGATATAGTATCCCATTATTTTTTCCAGAGAAGTGAAATTCAATAAGATTACAACAGAATGTAGTCCAACAGTTACCGTACTTTCAGAGCATTATTTAAGCTACAGAATTTCTTAATGATTAGAAACATATGTAGGAAAAATCACATGCAAAATGAGAATGACTGGAGACAATTTTTCCCCCCCAAACACTTTTTTTTTTTTTCCAATCAAGTAACAGCTCATCTACCACGGTAATTCACCTCACAGTCTTCATGGCTAGGAGGATACTACAGGTGGATGCTTTGGTGAAATATCGACATACATCAATTAAGTCAATGTGGCCACTCTGATTCATACCGAGGAGTACATAGCTTCTGTTTTTTTCCCCATATATCAGGCACAAAAGAGCAATACAACTTTCATCCCTGGCAAACAGCAATGGATTTAAGTCTCTTACCACCCTGATTTGCATTGTGAGACCATGTTCTAAGGGGCTTTCACCTGCAGCGGCTGCTTCGCCATCCAGTTCAGGTCCTAACGGCAATGGCAGCTCTGGATACTCATGTCTCTTGAGAGCTTGGTTCACTGAAACAGCAGAAATCTATAGGCTTTTTTTTCAAAAACGGAAAATGAGGAATCACCAGAGTCCTGGGGGAGTCAAACCTTCCAGATCAAGCTTGGACCAGGCGCATCTGAACGTACCATTTCTGCTGCCCTTAGTGTGACTTTACCAGGACTTAAGTGACCCATGGGGGCTCAGGTTCCTCTGAGAAACCGGCTGCAACCCCAACACCAGGGAGGAGATGCTGTACTGACTCCTCTGCATTTGTGGACAACACCAACATGCCTCCTGTTTTGCATCTTCTCTCATTTCTACCAAAATGTAGCTGCAAGTATTCTCCATGTTTTTTCTGAGAATCTCCTTGAATTCTCACATACTAACTCCTGGCCATGACTGAGTTTCCAGCATCAGTTAAAGCTGCAAGAGAGACAACTGAGACCACAAAGGGGTGCACGGATGCATGGTGTGCGTTAAGCCAGGTGGGGTGAGTACTCCTGCGAGTTGGCCAGTGGGGCAATCCAGAAGAGATCCCAGGAAATATGATCCAGCACCCGTCTTTTATAGACATAAATTTCTCTGATGTTGACGCCAGTTGCAGTAAAGAGATTTTGTTCACACTCGTTAACCCAGTAAGGAAAGGAGGCTGCAAAAAGCACTGCTGAGAGCACTCGCTCTGCCCCAGAACCCGAGTTTCCTTCTCATTTTTGGTCCTTGGGCCAAGCCTTTTCCCTCCACGCAGCCAGGGACTTCACTGGCATCCACCCCATCATGCAATGACCCATCCTGCAAGACAGTCCCCATGAGGGTGTATTGAACCAGCAGATTTTGGGGTGCATCTTGCTGCAATGTCCACGGCAGCCATCCGCGATGCCTGGCATCCGTGCAGCTCCCATCCCGTAGCTCATGCTCTTTGCAAGTGGCAGCATGGCAATGCCATACCCCAGCGCTCTTCCTCCAACTTGCAGCAAACCTCTAAAATATCCTCCTTCCTAAGATGCACCTTTTCAGTATTCACAGAGAAGAGTACAGTCACATATTCCTCTCAAAGCCACAAGGACTTGACTAGAGCTAAAATGTCATTTATGTACATATCACAAGCGTTTTTCTAGGCACAGATGTCTTTCTGGTGCCAATATGCTGTTTATGTACTTATCTGTCACAAGCACATGTCTACATACATATGCCCTGCTGGCAGAGGCACAGAGCATTTTGAAACTCTTATTAGACTGCTAATGAATAATACGCATACAAAGGAGAAAACAGAAGGTGGATCTATCAGGAACAGCCTCTTTCTTAACTACCTTTTAATTGTAGGAGAGGAAGAAAAGAGATGAATTTTGATATGTTGGCATCTGCAAAGGCCTGGTTAGCAGCATCAAATGCAATCATTTTAAAAGCGGATTTTTCACAGGTTTGGGTATTTTGAGGGGGGGGATTTTTTTTCAAAAAAAAAAAAAAAAAACCTACAAAATTTTGACACTGAGAGTATTGCAGATCCTGGTGCCAATGATGTACGATAGTGTGATTGTCACCACGGAATGCTGAAAAGCCAGAGCAGCTGTTTGGCATATTGACAGTGCGAATCCGGAACGTTTTAAATGCAAATGACAGTATTCAATTGATCGCACGAAAACAATGGGTCATAGCCTTACCTTTCCTTGGCTGCGCTCTGCATAATCAGCCTGCAAATCTGGGCACAATAGTGATATTGTCCCCATCCTGGGGACTTTGTTCCCCTTTATGCAGGGGTCCATATGATGCTGCTTTTATTTTTGGGGTATGCAGCGCTATGCTGAAGAAGAGGTGCCATTTGCAGTGTCCT